TGGACACATCTGAGAAGATTTGCCGATATCATGCTTTTGCAGAAAAGGGACGTTCCCCATCATCTGGTCTGCTCCAGATTTTGAAAACATACAAGAATCATACTCAGACCCACAGGTTTTAAAACATAATGTGACACGTTTCTAATAAAAGAGTCACATATCCTAATGATGCTTTAAGTGCAAGTGTTTACATAACAAAGCTTATATGGTGTTTATGATTATATAAATCAGCACAAATTAAGTTTTCAAAACATTAAATGCATGTCTTATATTACAACATATGCTGGGTTCATTGGCTAATGACAGGGTTGGTCCTCTGTATGAATTATGGCCCATTGAATGCTCTTCACCTTAAAAGATCCTGGAATTGACCCTGCTGTCACCTCACACCTTGAGGTCTGGGGGTTCAGATCCCACACCTTGTGTGTGTGTGTGTGTGTGTGTATGGGGGGGTCGCATGTTCTCCCAGGGTTGCATGAGTTTCCTCCATGTGCTCCTGTTTCACTCCACAGTCCAAAGACATGCAGATATGCAGATAAATGAGTATGTCTAATTCTTCCTTAGTGTGTGTACCCTGTGATGGCCTGGCATGCCATTTTACGGCAGGCTGAGGGTCTCTGTGACCCCATATTGGATCAGACCATTTAGCAGGATGGATGGGGGTGAGATTTAATGAACAGGCTGTTTATATTAGGGGCTCTCTTAAAAGCAGACCTTCAGGTAAAGATCACAGGGTGAATGCCCCTCCTTGATTTCAAGAGGTCTGTAAGTGTCCAAAAATCCCCCTCCCCCCCTTTAAAATCAAACATACGTTTTATCTGAAACATGTATATATAGCACAATGAAGGTTGTCTAGGTAATTTTTAAATCCACATATATTAATATATATTAATTCATAGAAGATCTTGCACAAAAACAGTGAAAGTGGAAAAAAAACAGAATACCCACATACTTCACTTTTGACATTTTCAAAGGGATTCCTATGTTTATCAAGCAAAGCAGAAGACGTTGACTTTTCTCAGTGCCCTGTATTTATTTAATGTGAAAGTCTGAAACAAAGTGCTTTGCTGCAAAGAGGTCTCTGTTACTCTTCCCTTCTTTGATCGTATAACTGTGACATGACTTTCCATTGCTCCCAAACATGGCGAAAGGTCACACCAAGCAAGTCAAATTACTTGTTGACCCAAACTGTGTTGACTTTCAGTGGGAAGTTGCTGATATCTGTTTCACACAGACATAAACACCTTATTTTATTTTCCCAACCGTGTCAGGCACACTGGCAGACAGCCATGTTTGTAATACTGCTTGGGGTCCTTCCCTGGCTCTCCGAAGCTTGCCAGAGGTCTTTCACATGAAGTGCAAGTGGTGAAGTGCTGAATGTATTGAAATGCATATGTAGAGAGTTCTGGTAAAATTGGCAGTGCAATCGCAACACCGGCCAGGTCACAGTGAGCTGACGATGATACTTACCAAAGGCGATGCCAGCTGATCTACTCAAGACGTCGCAGGAACTTTGCAAGCACCACGAGATCTCAAGGGATCTATTTATGTGATTTTCAGATGTAACCTCCTGAGACCCCACCCATTCATTTACAGTATGTCCATTGTAGTGGACATTTTGTTTTTGCACCTATCTTTTCCCTGATGTTAGGAAACGTATTTATTCCTGTTGTGCACTAAAGAGGACATGCTGTGAAATTAAAAATAAAAATAAATTTGAAAAAATCTAAATTGTAAGATGTCTTATTTCCTCCAAAGACAAATAACCTAAAATTGAAGGACACTTTTTTCCCTTGGGTCTCAGGAGGATATCTGCTAACTGACCAACATGAACAAAAATGTTCAGTGCCAGATGACCATCATCAGAAAAAATTCAGCTGCATTTTCCTGCTTGTTTAGGGCAGCTTTAGTGGAAATTCATTACCTAAATATAGCAATTTCGCAGCAGAGCATAATAATCTATTACAATCAGATCAATGACTGTTTTAAGGTTTTGGTTGTCTGGCGCGAGGTCCAGGAGCTACCTGCATTTAGTGGAGGAACCTTCCGGCATGTCTGTTAAGCCTGTGAGGTTTATAATGATTAGGCCGGTAACGATGTGAGATTGACACTTGACAGAAATGACGGCTGTCCCCACAGACAGAGTCGCTTGGCTTTTATAGGTCTGTTTATAACTCGGCCTTGTCGAAAACAGGACCAGGCCCGGAGCGCTCTGCGCCTCTCTGGATTTAGCTCAGCGCAGGCCCATAAAGGCTGTTATTACTGTCTGGTTTGTCCAGTGGGACAAAACGGGATCTCCGGGGACATTTCCCAGAGATCACAGAGCGTAGCGAAGGGACCGGGGGATGCGTAGTGTCCCATGCAAGCGCTGGGAGTCTCACCTCTGGCACGTTGCTATACTTTATCACACATAGCGAAAGGAGGCAGTCGATGGATCTGTTCACTTCTACCTGTTTCACTGCATCTCACTGCACTGGTATTTCAAATAACCTAAGAAGTAAGAAGTGTTAAAATGTTTTAATAACCCGACCCATCAAGCTTTGTACGGTTTTAGTTTTAGCAAATTAATTTTTAAGAAATGTATTAATCTACTCTAAGCACATGACTCCTCAGTGTAAGAGGAGGCCACCTCATGGCACTGGAGTAGAGGAGACAGTGGGGTCACCCAGTCCCAGGAGCAATTGGGGTTAAGGGCCTTGCTCAAGGGCCCAATGGTGGGATCACTCTGCTGACCCAGGGATATGAACCAGCAACCTTATGAGTCCAATCTCACAGAGTCCACCACCCCCCTCCCCCCAAACAAATATATATTTCTTCTGTGATACTTTGTTGGTCTGTGCATAATTCCATATATGTTATATAGTTTTGATGTCTTAAAAATTATTCAAAAATGTAGAGAAACCTTTGTATAGGTAGGTTTTTCCAAACTTTCGACTGGTACTCAGTGTTACTGAGGACTTACATAATAGAGGATCAAGAAACCCTGAAGAAGTGTGCCGGGGGCGGGTGAGGGGGGGCAGGGAGGGGGGGTGACCGAAAACCTCCAGCAGTGCTGAGCTACACTTGCGGACAGGCGGCTCCCCTGACACTGTGCAGAGCTCCTGGCACGATCTCATCCCATAATTAGGTGTTCCCTGGAGAAGGAGAAGCATCACCACTCGCAGTGACATTCAGATTCCTGCTGGTTTTGGGAAGAACGGACTGTGCCGGATTTCAAGGCGGACGCTCAAGCCATCCCGGGGCCACGGGCATCGGGCCACAGAGCACAGACACGGGGGCAGCTGCAGGTGGTGTTTGGGAACCCCAGAAAAGCGTCATTGATTCAGGGCTCGGAGCTTTTATGCAGATGTGGACTTTGCTTTTGAAATCGTCAGACTGTGTGTTGGCTTGTGGTCAGATGTGTTGCAGTCATCCAGTCCAAAAGCATGATAAGACTTTCGAAGAAGGGGGGGGCACGGCTGCGCAGTGGATAGCAATGTTGCCTTCATGGGTGTAAATCACAGAGATGGGGGGTTGCAACCCCCCCCCACCCCAATAATTAAAACCAGGCAATACTACCCCCAGAACCCCCTTACATGGGTGGAGACCTCACCCCCTAAAATGCTCAACCCAAAGTTATACCCTTGTTTGGCTCACACCACTGGGCCGTTCAGATCCTCCCTGGCTCTATGTGTGGAGTTACATGTTCTTCCCGTGTCGTCATGGGGTTTCCTACAATCTCTTACCACAGTCCACAAAAACATGTTAAGTTGCCAAATTGTGTGAAGGGTGTGTGTGTTCTACAATGACTTGGTGTCCCATATCGAGTTATCCCCTGCTGTAATCCTTCTGAGATAAGCTCAGTGACACTGCATAGGGAAAGTGAGCATAGAGGATAGATGGATTTTAGAGTGACGTACACTCTCAGAAAAAAAGGATACCAGTTTGTACCTTTCAGGGTACAATAACTTGTCACTGGGGTTGTACCTTTAACTGTATGTAAATGTACCTTTTAGGATGCAGAAATGGACTAAGGGGAACATTTTTGTACCATTGAGGGAACATTAATGTTGTTTGTGGATGTTCCTCTGAGGTACAGTTACTTAAGCAAAGGGTACAATTGATAGACCCTTGAGGGTACAACCTCAGTGACAAGCAAAGGTATACGAAGATGAATTGGTACTCTTTTTTCTGAGACCGTACATAAGACTTAACTAGGATACAGATCTGACCAATGTGTCAATATGCATATACTGTAGAAGTAAATATTTTCATGTATATTGCTCATTCACTGTCAGAAAAAGGGTGCAGTCCTGGTACAATTTTGTTCCCCGAGGTACAAACAACATCACTGTACCCTCAATGGTAGAAAAATATTCCTCAGAGTCCATTTCTGCACACTGTACCTTAAAAGGTATATTTGCTTACAGCTAGGGTACAATGGGAAGACCCTTGAGGGTACAGCCCTCTAGTAGTTATACCCTCAAAGGTACAAATCCACACTATTTTCTCACATTGTTGGGTAGATAATTTCACATTTTCATTGCATATATTCATATATTCAGATTTGAGATCTTAATTAAAACAGTAGGCAGACATCACCAAGTCAGATACCAAGAGTTTGTGTTGTTTGCCTTCTTCAAAATGCGTGTTTTTTATGTAGGCTATATAAATGCCTACATGTGGACTGCGACGGTAAACGTTTCGGCTGCGCACGGCTCAGGGGTTAATGAGTCGGCAGCTCAGGGAGGTGTCTCGCAGGCGAAGGGGAGGAGGGTGCCCGCGAAGAAGGTGGAGTTGTCGCTGTGTCGTTCACCCCCCACCCCGTGTCGGGTTAGTAAACTGAGCGGGGGGTCCGGACGGATCAGCCCGTCCTACACGGGAATGTGAGACGACGGACGCCAAGGAGCGCCTCTCTGACAGCGGCTCGGGGCGCACGGCGAAGCCGGACATCTACGCCTCCCTTCCCGAGTCTCCGCCTCCAGATCTGCCCTGCAGGGGTAAGTATTTCAGCACGTCGTTATCCTCGGTGCTTTTAATCATGATTATCTTGCAGAGACGTGCAGCCTGTGCCTGAACTGCACGTAGATGAAACGTGTTGCGGCTAGTGGGGGCTGGACGAAAACACATGGGGGGTGGATGATCTAAAAATACCTCTCCCCGGAGCGATAATACAACCTGTGTCAGGCCTGTTTGACTTTGAAACTAAACACAGATATGGAGGATTGAATTTTGTCCAGCCCCTCTTCTCACTTTGGCTGAAAGTGGCGAAGAAAAAGTCGGAGCAGTTTAACGCCTGTTTGACAAGCAGGACGGGGGATACGGACGCGTAAAGTTGCCGAGGTAATGTGCGTGTTTGGGGACATCACTTACGACCGGCATCAACTGAGTGTTCTTGAATTATATTTACAAACTGATTTGGCCAGCGGGATCAACACCTGCGCAGATACGGGAGATAAATACATAATATAGACGTATAATGCTCATGTAGCCTGTAGACTTTGCACTTGGCTGGAAAAATGTTTCGCATATTTGACAGATGCATAACAAGTTAGTGGAGTTGACTAAACTTTGCGTTGCTGTCCTGCTGCGGGCTCGTTTCTTGGACCGTGTAAGACATTGTTGGGATTTAGAGACTCCGGCGAGCATAATCAGGAAACGCAGAGTCGGGCTTATAAATAAACTGGTCAGATTCAATACGTATACTAGTGATTTTGTGCGTTTGTCTGTTTTCTGTGGTTATAAGCACTAGTCATACAGCAAATAATCCCGAGACGATATGAAACACTGCCCAAAACATGCGGACAGCCAGTACTAGTACCCAGTAATAAACTTGTGTTTTACGCTTGATCTTTAATGTGAGATCATTTTTGTGGCGTTTAGCCCTTGTTAATTGGGCTTTTAGTCCTACGGTTAAAGTACGAATTCATTAATCGTTTTATTTAAAAGGTGATTGCTTGTTCAAATCCCACAAATTTAACACATTCGGCGTGCCAACAAAAGTCGTCTGTTTTTCTTTGTGTTTGTATGTCTTCTTAAAATAGTATATAAATTATTGTATAAATTGTACCACCCTTGGTTGAATTATTTGTTCGTGTTATAGTACTTAAGTCATGTCCGATTTGGCACCTTCTCTCAGTGTTTAAGCAAGTGTTGCTCCTTAAAACGCTGAGTTTGCCAAAAAGCCCATCCGGCTTGGGACTGGTACCAGTGCAGTACCGAACTTCCAGAGCAGACACTTCAAATCATGCAGATGGCTATTTTGTGTCGTTTTGATTTTGCCGATAGGAATGAAAGTGTCTGTTATAAACAATGTATCAAATTCTCTAAAAAGCTGCCTGCTTTACGGTTAATTTTATGTGAAGTAACGGTGACAGGCTGAGCTGATGGCGAAATTTACTTTGAAATACCAAAGTTGCTGGTTTACCTTGTAAAATCTGTTAAAATGTATGTTAAACGTAGGAATGAACCTCATCCTAAGCTGTATTTTGAACTCAACAAATAAACAGTAACAAATGCCTAAAGTTGTATATGTTTGACCTGGGAGCTCTTTTGTGTTGTTTTTAAACATCTTACAGCCCGGTGTGCATCAGTGTCCCGACGTTTCCACAAGTGCCCCCCCACCCGGCCCCACGTCAGAAATCTGCAGAACTGCAGCCCCTGGACTGACTGTCTTTCCATGTGTATAAACATCTACTCTATTGTCTTCACAGAATTAGCCTTGCTGTCTTTCTCTCCTCCCCTGTTGGACTTTGTAAAAACAGATAAGAAGATTCCAGAGCCTGTTCCAAAACTGCCTGAGATGTATAAGTTATTGTGGACTAAAAGTCCCATATCTCAGCTGTCATTTTGATTCTTATTGGCTAACACCTCGCATAAATTTACATCTGATTAAGTCTGATGCGCAGTAGTGTGGCAGAAAGGTAGCATGCATGTTTCCACGCATCTCCTCAAGTGCACGGCTCTACTTGGCGAGACTGGATAAGAGCAGACATTAGTGTGAGGGGCTCATGTGGTCAAACAGGAAGGTCCATGCAGACACGGACCCTCCTGGGATTCTAGGCTCCTCCAACCATCTGTGGGCCGAGCTACCTGGAGCCCGTATCTTGATCTGCTTCTAAAAACAGGCCGGCGTTTGAGCCCGAGAAGTTTCCATTGTTTGAGGAACGTTATTTCTGCGATGATGGATGGCAAGACCCATTACTGAGGTCTGCTGGGATTTGACAGTCTTCTTGGAGTAGAACAGGCTCTCTAGTCGTAAGTCATTGGAGAATGAAAACAAACTCCATTGCCTTCTACTCATAACATACATCTCAAACACAGCTGTGTTAACTCCAGGTACAGGCCAGCTGGTGCGAATCGGAGGATTTCTGTTGCTTCATTAAATGTGCCATGAAGGCAGGACTTTGCTTCATCTTCTCCGAGATCAGAGTTGACTTCTGTCTAGTGCTGCTCCAGTGCTGTGTTTGATTTTTTTTGTCTAATTCAGTAGGTATTAAAGAGGGGCGCCTCTCTCTAGTAGGAACTTAGCGCTGCTGGATTCAGAACAAGCCTAACGGCCGGCCCCTAGCCCTCATTCACAACAAGAACACGTTGGAAAGTGTCCATTGTGTAGTTCCAATGTCCAATTGCAGGAAAAAAAAGTCCAAATCCACCGTCTTTGGCTGGCCATTGTGCTCAGATTCATGCAATGTCTGGAGTCTCTGAGAGATGCCTGCACACAGAGACCTTACTCCTGGAATAATAATAAGTTTGCTTCCAATTGAAATGGTGGCTCACTGGTCTCATGCTAGCTCTTCTAGCTCTTTTCAGGTTGAGGCCTCAGCTCCAGACCATTTACCCATTGAAAGCTTTGGGATCAGAGCACTGGCAGCCAGGGCATAATCCTTTGTGCTCTGGATTAACCTTCTAAACCTCAGGCTGCACTGTTTTCCATGTGGACTAAAAGGTTACCTGGTATTTTTTTTTTGTTCAATTTGTGCAACAAGTACAACTTTAGCCTAGTGGCTGAAACATTCTGAGCTGCAGTGAGCGTAGGTTCAGTCTCCGTAGCGAGCACTCCTCTCTTGTGGGGGCAGGGTGGGAAATCGGAAAGGTGAGCTGTGTGTCTGAGGGGCATTCGGAGACCGTAGGCATGGCCGGGACTTCGTGGCTGGGGCAGCTGCAGGAACCTGGCACCAGCCTCCTCAGGAGAATTCCTCCAGTTCAGTCTCGCGGATGTGGAAAATACCCGACCGGCTGCTCTTTCGAGAGGCCCGAGTCTGGTGATTCTGAGGGTCACGGATTATATGCTGAGTGGTCTTCGAATAAACATGCTCTCCGGGAACTCTGAAAAGAATGGAGCCAGACTGTGCCAGAACCGCAAGAACCATGCACAAGCGTTGAACCTAGAAGGTCATGTGCATGGTGAAGCAGAAGGTGAAGTCAAGGCCACCTCCCAGTCCTGCATCTCACACATCTGTTGCCTGAGACCCTTGTGTCGCTGAATCCCCTGCCCTAGGAATGGGTGCCTTGTTAATCAGTTTCTGCACTCTGACCCCAGTTTGCCCACCATCGCTGCTTCTATCATTGTTTCCATGAAAGTTGGTTGAAGGTTCACGCAGTTAATCTGTTCTCCTCAAAGCTAGACGCCAGAATTTTTCTTTACAGTAGAAACAGGAAGTTAAATGACAATGGTACCCTGTCTTGGACTGAGGATCACCATAAACACAGTACAGTAGCTGGTCTTGGTGTAATTTTTGTGATGCTATGCTGCTCTTCTCTCGTTTTTTTAATGTACAAAATAAAATGTTGGCTTCATGTTGACTAAAAGGTGAAGCTCTCCCTCCGTCTCGTGCTGAACATGCGGCTGACTCCTTTTCAACTCTTCCATTCCTAGATCACTTTTTTTGCTCCGTCTTGGCCTGGAATACGCAAAGCTGCTCATTTGGAGGAAGACACGTGTCCGGTGCAGTCGGTGGAACGTAACGAGCGTAATTAACAGCCTCAGTAAGTTTGTGTAACAAATGTGACCTAATTCTATGTTTCACAAGCATGGTGTTATTTTCATATAATCAGTAGAAAGTCTGTCTGTTTGCTGAGGAAGCACTTTATTGTCTTCTGTGACTACAGGACGATTCTGATTTCAGAGTGAGATGTTGAGGAGATGTAAGGAAATCACGGTGTCTTCTCTTGGCATTCGTGCCATGGAATTAGCTAGCAGTGGCTGTGGTTACTTCTCAGTTTCCGCCAACTGGGATCCTGGTGCAAAGGGGGCGGGGGGGTGGAATGAAAGAATGCACAAACATTTTAATGGGGAGGGAGAAAGATCCAAACATGATGTTACACTCTGCTGGATATCAGATGACGGAGGGTGAGGGCACCATGTGGGAGACCTCTGGCTGCTGGTAGGGAATGGCTTCCACATTGTGTATCAGGTTACTGTTATTGTGTTTAAGGGGAAATCTTGTGCAGTAGGTTTAGTTGGGACATTACTCAGGAAACTGCCGTGTTGAAAGGTGTTGCATTTTCACAGGTATTGACAAGTACAAGAAAACCTGGATATTAATAGTCTTTATTTATACCTTTGATTGCAGTTTGGCACAGATCATTTTAGTGTTTTAACAAGGCAAAGTGCAGCAGGCAGCTGGGGTAAAGTAGGTAAACTTATCTGGTATCTTTATATGAGTGTTTAGCCTGCGTCGCCCTGTGTTTACAGAGGGCAGTGTGGTGTACATGCTAATATGCTCGCAGCCTCCACCCACACACGTCTGCAAGACTGTGTCGCTTACCATCGCGGAGTAATTTTTTGTTTTGTGGAGCTTACGGGTGTCTTGTTCAAGCTTTTATTAATATTATTTTACTTATTTTTTTTAATTCCATATGTCCCGCAGGACTATAAATAACCGGAGCTGGGGAATTTCTCACACCCTGGAGATAGCGTGTTAGCGTAGCATGAAGCTCGCCAGAGGACAAGGGAAGTAGAGAGTGAGAAAGGCTCAACCAAGGAGCCGCGTTCACTTGCGAACAAGTTCATCAGTTAAAAACCAAGAACCGCCTTTTTCAAAACTTTTTTTACAATTATAGGTGACTTAAACCTGAAGCATGACTTTAGTTTTTCTCTTTTTTTGTGAAATGGGAACTTTGCTTAACTGCAATTGTTGTTTTGCAGTTCTTTCACTGTAGTGGGGAGTGGAGAGCAGCACACTGTGGACCGTATGTCAGATTAAAGTTACGGCATTCTGCCTGCCAGCAGTGCATTATGGTACCATCACGCTGTTTGAGGAAAGCGACCTTCATTTTGAAGGGGGTTCTGGGTTTAGGACTCTGACCCAGTTCCTGACATCCTAACTTTTATCAGCTGACTTCTTAAATTATTGCCCATAATTGAGTTTCTCCTGAAATTAATCAGACCCTTTAACCTTATCAGAGCACACATGACTTGGCTTGATTTATCGCAAGGTCATTCATTTTTCAATCGCTGTCACACATTCGCCGAAATGCTGAACATGAATCGTCCATATTACAAAAGCTGGAGGTGTTTACAGCACCGCCCCCCCCC